AGCCGTCAAAATCAGTGGCGTTCCAGCGGTACCTGAAATTATACAGCAACATGTATGGACCGCCACAGATTTTTTAATAGAGAGAGGTACCACTTCGTCTACGGGAAAGAGTTTGCGACCCACATTCATAAAACATAAACATTGCAATAGAAAACTAGCACTACCCTACCAGATTTCGCGATAATGTGCGGTCCCCGAAGGAGGTTGGCCCCGCCTAGCCCGGACTAGAACTTGCTTAAGCAACATCTTTTTTAACATGTTATCTTCGTTAGCTTCAAAAAAAAGATCTGTTCTATATTTCAAAACTTGAACGTTTGTCTGAAGCAACTTCTGCATTAAAGAGACGAATTGAAGTGGCAAATTTCATTAACTTCTGTAACGTTTTTTTGACATAGCAAAATGACCATTCTTACCTACACATATTCATCATATTAATGTGTAATATTTGCGGCCCGGCGCGCGGCTTTGTTGTCTAAAAGGTTGTAATAACCACAGTGGAAATGGAGACGCGAATCGAGAAATTATCACTCTAGGTCAATATGGACGTCATACTTATGTTGCCGGGGCCGGGCCAATGTAAGGGAATCCTAGAGGATACCGCAGAGTGAGACCACGGCGTGGGTTGAGGGTGGCTATCTCTTGATGGCGTGGCTGAGGAAGGGTGACGCAGCGAGTTGAGTGTTGTGTATAAGATGGATAAGCAGAACGCGCGAGTTGGTAATTTTTTCAATAATTGTCTAGTAGTAGCATATCAGAGATGACCCGAGAGGTGATCATTATATAGTGAATTTACCCAGTTGGAAAGTATAGGTTGAGCCTAAAGTATTACACATGAGAAGAAAAATGTTGAGGAGAATTGTCTGAAAAAAGCAAACGGCAACAAGGTCGCACAGTCAAATGAAAACTTTCTGCACAGAATGCAGAACAGCCCCTCGAGCGGAACAATGAAGGAAATGGAACTTCGGTACTCGATAGGAACTGCTAGACAAATACTTGCTGTGCTTGTGGGGGTGGCCGGTTCTTTGTGAATTAATGAGTCTGGCATCTGGCTGAATGTCATAATATGCTGCCAGCGAGAATTGAGAAGAACGGCAGGGTTACTTGTAGACCAGGCAACAAGTAGCGTTACATGCGATGTCAGACTCGAGCTGATCACCAGTGTGCTTCTCTGTCCTAATGTGTGTACTCTTGAACACCCAAAGCAGTCCGGCCTAAAACGAATCTTACATACTCTCTATCTCAATCTTTCTTAGGGGTCTGCATCACTAACAGTTCCGAACCGGTGCCGTTGTCCTGTTCTGTTTGTTTGTCCCTATCTGTCTGTCTGTCTGTACGTGTCTGTCGTCCTGCCAGTCCTGTCCGCCGTTCCGGTTCTTATCCACGCTTCCGGATCATCCGTCCGTGGGCCTGCCGGATGTCCGTGTACAGAAAGCGATCGTATCTGAGGGCACTCACATGTACATTCTGCCATCTACCCACTGCAAGACTCATGCTACAATATAACCGTGAATGCATTATCCACCACCCGGAGGGTAATTATTGTACGTATTCAAGCCTCGGAATATAAGTTACATTTACAGCCTACATGTTTGGTCTTCGACATGCATAAATAAGCATGAAATGATTACAAAAAACATTCAATAGTTTAAGCCACCGCATACACTATGTTTATACATCACATGACTTCGCTCACATTGGAGCTCGTGACGTCCAGCAAAGTGTTCTAGTTACACAACACTCAACGTGCGTTAGCGTGGCGTCGCTCGATCAACATGGGGCTATGACGTCACATGACCTAGATTACTATTCAGTTATTTCCACTGTGTTTATTACTAATTGGGCGCCAGATTTAAAATTGAATATGTTATTGAATGTATTTCTATGTATAAAAACGTTACAGAAGTTATGAAATTTGACTTCAATTGTCCTTTAAGCAGAAAGTTGTTCAGACAAGTCAGTTGAAATATAAACAGATCTGAAACTTAACAAATGAACATTAAAAAGTGCAACTTCATTACGGGGCCGCACATTATGGAAATCTGTAGGGTAGTGCTATTTTCTATGCAATGTTTATGTTATAATGTGGTCGCAAACTCTAGACCGGTACTCTCTCTTAAACTCGGTCAAATGTTCTTGTAAATTTCAAATACAGTGGAACCCTGATTTTACGCTCCCCGATTTAACATGCATTCGGCTCAGAATCGGATATAACGCGATGAGTCGTTGGACCCCTTTTTTGGCTCTTATAAAGCCACGTATATATAACCCCCGATTTAATGCGACCCCGCTTTATGGACCTCAACCATCGCGTTATAACGGGGCTACACTGTACTATATTTTTTCTATACTCACTCAGGAATAAGTGTGACCACATGTATGGGTAGTAATGAATGTCGATGCAGAAAGTAATTTTGGGGCTTGTTTCACCTTGAGATAATATCTGTATAACGTTTACTGTAATGAAAACATGACTATTGTAATTAAAATACATAGATAATAAAAGATAATACATGTTTGATTAAGGAATGTTTTATAGGATTTTGTATGAATGTTGTACTTTTAATGTTCTTTCACTAGGATGTACATATACCTGTCATACATCTAATCTAAATGAAGTTATTTTACAGACTACACCATGTATCGAGCTTCTAAGAGTTGTAATGATTTAATTTTCTGTGCTACTGTTTAATGGACATAGGACCGCTAATGACAAGTTAATGCCACGCATGTTGCACCCCCCCCCTGCACTTAATGCTGACGTAGTGCTATGGTGATGAGCCCTACTATACCATAGCTGTTCTCTTTATTAACATTTTTTAACATCCCACATACCCCTATTTAACTCCTCCCACATTATTTTAGCTGTTCATAATCATTTGAGGAAAAAACCATCGTGGTTACTTCGATGTTATAACCCAGTTGCATTCTGTGCTCTACGAAACTCGAAGCTGATAGCGTGAACGCCATTTCCCATGCCTAACCACGTTCCCACCACATACTCAATGATGCTTGCATCACCACTCACCAGGCTTGTTCTGCATCTACCTTGTCAGTTAAGATTTTACTGATTGCATTACCACCACGCAATTTTCTATTAACCACATTTCAACCACATATTGAGCGTCCCAGTGTCACAGTCACAACCTAGCAGACAGTCAACGTTGTGCAAGTACTGTACTTTGATAATGGTAAACTCGTCAACAAAAATTTTGCACAAGCAATAGTTTTTTTACAGCTATTTATTTTACCTTCTTTATGGTTTATATAATAAAGATAAGAAAATAAGCAAAATTTAAATTACGAGTAAGAATAACTCACTGTTGGTCCATAGTAAATGTCATATTATAAACAAGAGTTCCGAATACATTGATAATAGGAATATGCCAAACTCATCCATGGGTGAAACTGTCAGCATTCAGTAAAATGTAAAAAAGGGCCGGCACAGTAAGTCTTAAACATCAAAGACTAGATTGAGCATTGTATAGTTGCTGGGGATACCCTTATGTAAACATTCCAGGCATTCTTTCCCTCCACTCTGATACAGTTTGTGTACTGCCCGAATAGTTGTATCTCCATCATGGCCGGGCCTCACTGAAAAGCTCTGGCATTACTACTGCAACTCAAAGTGATTCTCGGTCAAACGGTCACTGATTTCTCTTTTTGAATCCAAAAATGCGGACCTCAACACAATGGTCTTACAGATGCTGAACTATTGCTATGTAAAAATCTTTCCGCATTAAAAAAGATTTCCCCACTGCATGCCTGTCGAATTTCTGCCTGCGTGGATTGCCTCGAACACACAGCAGTGGCACATCGTTCACGTGTTCCCTAGCTGCTGCCACACCTCACTGACATGGTCCCGCACCGCACGATCTAGCACCAGATGCACATCTTTGCATGCTTTCGTCGCCATGTCCATGACTTTGCTCAGGTGGTCAAGGTGAAGCCGTGAGCTCATCTCTAGCATGACAAACTGCTCTGACTTCGGAAGCATTGCGACGGTAAACTCGGCAATGTGATTCGTTTCTTCGAGGTGATTGATGTCGACAATGGTCACGTCGTCCACGAAACCCACCGTGCATGCGCACACGTAGTCCTTCAGCGGAATTCCTACAACAGCATTTAATGCAACATACACGAATTAACGCCGTCGCAAGTCGAGGTTGTTCCACCTCACTTAAGAATGGCAGAAATGTTGTATGCGATTCTAAAAGGCAAAAAATAGGTATCGAATTGCGCTATAAGTTTTGGCTTCACGTCAATTTATTCATTAGTTTATTGTAACTATAATTTCCTGAACTGGTCATCTCGACAATTTACAAAATGCAGGAAGTAGGTTGGTAGGTATGAAATTGCCATACTGTCATTTACTTACCAATGCCACCAGAGTCAAAAATGCTTTGGCATCATCAATAACAAAGCACTGACAAGTTTCAATCAGAACTATTCTTTGTTAACATAAATAATTGGTATGCTCCATAAACAAACTAGGATTGATTTAAAATAAATTAGAAAGCTGATTGATGCCGACTGCTCGAACATCATTATTTGTTAAAGCCCAAACTCGTGTATGTCAGATATAATTATTTTAAAAGCATTTATTTACCTGCATCTATTAATGCCAGAGTTGCCGCATTTACGCAGGCTGCAAAGTTTCCTCCGTCAGCCTGCAAGACCTAATTGAGAAAAGCGAGGTATTTAGATATAAAAAAGTAGTTCATATACTTCACCTGATATCTACATTCTAAAAACGGTCGCTAGCAGGTAATGGTGAGTATATTATTATATTGCTTGCCTAATAGTTATTGCAGAAAAACATTCTTTTACAGAAAAACATTTCTTACACAATACCTACATATTTCTGTTATCAGACATTCATTTTTGTTATCATTGATAGGGCAGAGTCAAAATAGACACTGTGCGGGGACAAGGATATAATGAGTGTATATAAAACTATTGGGGTGTAAAAACTGTAATAAGGTATACAATACATCATCAGTGTTTTTACTCACTACACTGACAATGATTACTTGGATATGATCCAACCTTGGTGGGACACTAACCAACACTCTGGAACTCAATGCAAGACTAGGACACCAGGGAGGTGGGAGAAAACCAGTATAGTATACTAGATAACCACACAGGAAGACAAAATATGCCAGGACACAAAATATCATGGCATCGATAAAAAATCAATTAGCATTAAAATCATAATAGTACTGAACTACTGATATACCTCAACAAAGATATCAATCTGCGATCTCGGATAGAGCTGAGTGAGAATAGTAGCCTCAAATGTCTGTTTCATGTGCATCGTCATCTCGGTAGATTTACGGTCACCACGAGGCCTCTGCTTCCGCTCTCCTGTGCTGAAGGTAGCCATGCTAAACTGACAGTTGACATATGCGCGATCATGGAGTGCTTTGCTCCTACTGCCTCTAATCTGCAAATAATTGAATGCAGTTTATAACCTGCGATTGCTCGGATTCCACGCAATCTGTTATATAATGCCCAATACCATTGGTTAATGCTGTAAACTTTTCTATACACTGATTGTACCGTGTACACACTCGACACACTGAGTAGATAATATCATAACCCTGCACAAATCTTTTGATGAAAAGCTGCGCTTCGCCTTCAGGTCGGCGAGTGATTAACTCACAATTAAAATAAACAGAGTGGCTATATGCCCGGCAGCCGGCATATATCTGACGGCTGCCGGGCACGGTCTTCGATTTCCTAAATGCCCGGCAGTTTTTAATTTTCAGCGTTATCTCAAGTAAACAAGGGTTAGGGTTAGGGTTAGGAACTGCCTAGCTCTAATAACTATATAGTCGGTTTGCCGGCCCTATATCTCCTATATGTTGACCCTGCAATGTTAATTACTTTGAACTTTTTTCATGGAAATGTGTTCTATATAGTTAGGAGAGCTGATTTAGCTTGGTTGCTACCTAGTGGGCAACGTATGAGCTATATTCTTGGAATCAAGATGGCCGCCGCTCGTCCGATCTTGATTTGGTCAATTTACAATCTTGTGATCTCGATGCACCTAGGTGTCATGCAATACCTCTTTTTAGGGTTTTCGAGGCAGGGAGTCCCCAATTTTCTTTTTTTCGAAAGAAGTTTATTTTTTAGATAATGGGGTCAATGTCAAGGTTCAAAATGACGTGTGAACGGTCAAAAATAAGGACACTTTATGATAAATTCACTGATTCATACGATAGTAATATATAGGCTGACACTTACGACTTGACATTACAAGACAAATAGGGATGAAACACCCCACACCATGGCATGGAGTTCACCCAGCATGCGCTGCCGGCATCATCGAGACAGGAAACATTTGTGTGATGCCAGCTCCACGATCCCCGAGTCAAGAAAACGCAGGCATTCTCTCAGCAACTCATAAGGCCAAATCAGGCTATACAGTTGCAGCACTACACAAGGACTTCCAAAAGCTAAATCCCACCTCTGATTCCAAATAAGAAAGCTCCTGTCCGCAGAAAGAGTCAGGCAGCCTTTCAATCCGGCTGGCAGTTGAGTTGCAGTCCAGCAGGCGAGACGGCAGGCCCTGGCTGTCGCAAAAGTCATGAGAGTTTGACAAGCCTGTCGAGTGGGCGGGCTTCATCTCAGCACGACCGACTAGTGGCGGGCTCTGCCCATAAGCCCAAGACCACTGGTGGTGTTTGGCTGAGAATTGATCGATTCACCCACGCTGCCTCACCAGAGACACCGGTTCTGACTCGGCTCCTGTATCTCGAGAGGAACTCCCAAAACTTTCGGGATGGCAGTACACCCACCTCTCTGTTTGAAGTCTTCCCCAAACTTATATCAAAGACTTGCATTGCCTAGTCCCAATGGAAAGGACCCTCAGCCGGGCTTGGACCCCAATCCTTATAACTTCCACCGGGCAATTGAAATGCACACTCCCCTCAATGGAGTTTTCCTGGGCTGTTTATAAGGGGACACTTGTGAAAGGCATTCCTGGCGCCGTGGACGTTCTCCAATGAGCGCAGGTTTTGGTGGCATGACCAGCATCATCACCGAAGACCTGAACAAAGGCTTATCGGGCATGACGATCTCATCATCGCCGTGTTGCTGCAGAGTGTTTTCTACTCAAATTGTGCCCAAGACAATACAAGAGCTGGAGTGACTACCTGGAGACAGCCAGAAAAACCCCAACTGGGAAAGCTATTGGGTGGAACTTGTCCCTCATGCAACCGACACTCGCTGAGCGCTCATGTTTCCTGGCGTGGAGGAGGCGGCAATGAGTGACTTTCTCCCCTCAGCGCACACTGTCTCATAGGCAAATGCTGCCGATATTTCTTCGCAGCAGGTCAACAACAATTATGCCCCGCTACATGAGCTTGGTATGTGCGGACAGATTGGAGCACGCTTCCCAGCTTGCCCGGGAGGACCTACTGTCAGTGCGCACATGTCTGTCGCAGATTCTGAGGCGGGACCGCAGTTCAGCAGATCAGTTCGGCGAACAGACATGATATCAAGGCGAGGGAAGGGTCTTGGAGGTATGAAAGGGCAATAATCGACGAGCGCCGAGCAAGTGGCTGTTGTGGGTCAACAGTTTCAGTGTGTGTGCCCACCTCGACATCGCCATGGAAGATATGTACAGTGAAGCTGGGGATGAGGAGAAGCCACGTGGTCGAGTGGATAGAGAGGAGAAGAACAAGCACAAGGAGGAAGGAGAGGGAAGAAGAAGACTGGATGAGGTCGATCGGAGGAAGATCCGGAGCAGAGGCTGAGAAGTACAGCTCACCCCCTCAACGACGAGCAGCATCCAGGTCTCTATAACATCTGCAATGGCCAAGTGGCGCCCGACACAGTGAATGTTCAGGATGCATTGACTACGGAGTGAGCAAAGCAAGCGTTTTCGCGCTTCACTACGTAGTGACTTCCACAAAACCATAAAGAAAATGGTCAGTATCAATGGAGGCACTCAAGAGGCAGTCACTGTCAAGGGGAAGGCCATCTACGACATCGAGACACTGTTTAGTCGCTGTTGTCTTGGGGCAGCAGCGGAGCGTGGATCTATCCAACATCTTCCAGTTTGAACTGAGTCCAGTCCCAACATCCCTGATTGATGAGTATGGATTGACATTTCTGTCAAGACTCCACCTGCTCCAGACGTGGTGTTGGTTGACGCCGGTCAGCTGCTGTACCACGTTGTGTGGCCAAGTCGCTGGGACCGCAGGAGATCTGGGCTGCAAGCTTTGGTGCTCGACTGGCCCATACCCCCCTGGCTCAAAGAAAATAGTCCTGTTCGACAGGTATGACCAAGAGCTCCTAGCGCAAAGGAGCATGAGCAGATGAGAAGAGGAAGAGCCAAGGAAGTGCGGCTGACCCCAAACACACCCCTTGATGCCGACAGCTATTCTTCACAATGCCACGAACAAGAGCTGCTGCTCAACAACATCCTATGCGGCTTACTCTTCTTCTCACAAGCATTCCAGCTTGTCAACAAGCTGGACTGTGTCGTCACCCATGCTAGAGGCAGACATCACTCTCTGCAGCATACATGCTGAAGGCGGGCAGCAGAAGATGCCGAGACAATCGCGCATCCTCAGTGATGACACAGACTCTTCGTCCTCCTGGTGTACTGGCATCAAGGATTGCGGTGGCATTGCCAAGATTCAAATGGAAAAGTGAATGTGATGTCCTGGACATATCAACAAAACTGTTTGAGCGGTTAGGCCCCAGAAAGTGCCAGCCAGCTTCTGCGTGTCCATGCGCTGTCAGGCTGCGATACGGTGTCGTACCCCTTCGGAAAAGGAAAACAAGTCAGCACTCAAGCTCCTGGAGATTGATATACCAGGTCTGGATCAAGTGCTTGGAGAGCTTTGTGCGCGACCCATGCTCAACTCAAAGCGACAGCAGACAGCTTCTTCTTCCCTCTCTACGGACAGAAAAGTTGTACGACAATGAATGATGCACGTACTCGCCTCTACCGTAGCCATAGAAGCGCGCCACAACTGAAGAAACTGCCACCGACTGACGTCAACCTGCAGCTGCATGTGCTCCGAACTCACTTCAGATGCTACTGTGGATGGCAGCAAACCAACGTGACCACCTGAAGAAGCTCTACATATTACCAACTTTGGTTGGAGTATCAAAGGCTCCACCATCACACCCCGCCATCTCAACAGCGCCAGTTGCTCCCCAAGCGCTCCTGGATGTAGTGAGCTGCAGCTACAGCGCAGAGGGCAAGGCATGCAGCGGGAACGTTGCAGGCTGACAACCGTGCAGGCCTTTCGATGCACAGACTATTGCAAGTGCGAGGGAGGAGTCGCCTGTTGTAGTCAATTCACGAAAAATCAGATGGACACCGAAGACAATGAAGAGGAGCTAGGTGTAGATGACGACAATGACATGATGATGATGGCGGATTGAGGAGTAATGAGGATGAGGAGTCATAGAGGATTGTGACAACTACTGTTTATTGTGTACTGTTTAAGGCTGTTTGCTATTTTCTCGTTGAATTTACATTAAAGTGTCTTATTTTGACCGTTGACCTTTGTTTGACCTTAACCTTGACCCCATATCTAAAAATAACTCCAGAAATGGACTCCCTGCCCTCGAAAACCCCTAAAAGAGGTATTGCATGACACTCTAGGGCATCGAGATCACAAATTGTAAATTGACCAAAATCCAAGATCGCACGCGGCGCCATCTTGAATTCCAAGAAATGCTCAACGATGCACAGGTAGCAACCAAGCTAAATCAGCTCTCCTAACTATATAGAACACATTTCCATGAAAAAAGTTCAAAGTAATTAAACATTGCAGGGTCAACATTTGGCAACTGGACTAATAGCCCGCGTACAAGTTGCCGCTGGGTATAGACCAGCCATTACGAATGCTCGGGACCAACTTACTCCACTCTCCAGCCAGTCAGCGGGAACTATGTATTTCCGCACGTGGAGGGGTGGGCGTGTTCATCTTTCATGACAAAACTAATATTACAATCTTTTTTGATCGCTTAATTTGTTACTTGACAACAACAATGTTTTTGTCCACAACCATCCCAACCCGCCCACCCCTCCACGTGCGGAAATACATGGTTCCCGCTGACTGGCGCATCTGGCCTGCTGCAGCGCCGGCAAAAATGGCCGTTGGAAGTTCGCAAATCGAATGTTTGTTCACCAGAAATACCGCAAGTAAACCATTTCAAGATAGTTAGAGGTTAAATTTTAGTAGCTGATATAACTTAAAGGGCCGGACACACTAGGCGATTAAATCGGGCGACTAAATCGCCCGATTCTATCGCGCGAGTCGAGTGGACACACTAGGCGATTAAATCGCCGGTGAATAAGTCGTGCATGCATGTGCACGTAGACGTGCGTGCGTGCGCACGTACACCTGCGTGCATTCATGAGTGCGTGCGTGTGTATATAAACTTGCGTGCATGCGTGCGTGTGTATGTAAACGT